GCTGGTGTCCGTGGCCCTTTGTTGGCTATGCCTCCTGGGGCTGTGTGTGCATGGGAGCCTCTGGCTGTGCTGACCCTGGGTGCATCCCACAGGGGCCTCTCTTGGATGCTGCCCTGGGAGAAAGGCCTGCCCACCCCTTTCATTCCCAGCTACGGAGACCCCTGCCCGATGGGTCTGAGTGCTGTGCAGCTCTGGGAGCCCCAGGCTTCTGTGTACGCGTGTGGCCACAGCAGGGGGCATGGGCCCTCCTGGTCCCCCCACCCCGTGGGTCCCTGGAGTCTGTGGGGCGCACCGAGACAACATCGGCAATGCAGCGGTTCAGGTTGCCCTTGTCATCCTTAATGGTGATAGGTCGGTCCTCCTTGATCCTCTCCATGGCGAGTGGGCAGTCCAGCTGAGGGGGCGGAGATGCCGTGGGTACTGGGCCTCACGGGCCTGGCCCCTTCACAATAGCACCCACCCCTCCCACCTCCTGCTCCCTCAGCCTGCTCACTCACACGGAACTTGCGGCAGAATTCATCAATGGAGCTGATTTCTGCGCCCTGAACCTGCCGGAAGGCGGCTTTGTACTGGACAAGGAGCCGGGAACAGGCTGCAGTGTACCTAGAGAGAGGGATGCCCTGAGCACCAGGCTGGCCCTGCCCACAGATCCTGCTCTCCCACGGCCCACCCAGACACAGGGCAGCCTCCTGGAGGGCCGAGTGGCAGATCAGAGATGGGCCACTGAAGGCTGAGGCTTCCCCAGGGGTCTCGATAAGAGAGCTTGGGAGGTGACTAAGCAGAAGGGACGGGGGCGGCCAAAATACAGCTGCCACACTAATGGTGTCGAACCATATGAATCCCCAGGACTCAGACCCCTGCTCTTGCTTCCTACTGAGCGCCCACGCCCTGGAGGGCAGAAACAAGCCTCCAAGGATTGGTGCTTGTGACTGGTGCAAGGACAGAGGGCTCACTCGTTGGGGGTGACGCAGTCCTTGATGTACGCCTTCTCCAGAGCCTGCATTGTCTTCACAACTGCAAACAGCTCCGCCATGTTGTCATACCTGAGGGTAGTGAGTCCATCGGGCCACGGCTGCCAAGGCCCCCAAAGCCCACAGTGCCCACTGTCCCAGGGTGAAGCTATATTTGACCTGCCTGGCAGAGGCTCCTTGGGAACTGTTTCCCCGGCCTGATCCCATGTCCTCCTGACCTCAGTGTGGGGTGGTTTAGGGTTGGGGGAAGCTACTCGGGGGGCTGGGGCTGGACTCACTTCTCTCGCTCCCGGGCGTTCTTGTACAGTTTCACTTCCTGTTGGAGACAGGCAGTGTGTCAGCCAGCGGGACCAGTGTGGCTTCAGGGTCTGGGTGGGGCTCACACAGGGTTTGCTATTGGCCAGTGCTGGCCAGGTGGGCGTCCGCCACTCACCTCATAGAGCTCGGGCTTGTTTCCAGGTGCTGCAACAGAGCAGAGAGCTAGCAGGCTGGCCACAACAGCGACCCCAGGGGGCTTGTCCACTGGCCCTGGCCCCAGCCCCATTTCAGCAGCCCACCCAAGGCTTCTCACCCTGTGAAACATCCCAAAGAGCCCAGAGGGAGCTGGAGGATGGGATTCTAATTTCAGCACCCCACCAATTTGTGGGCGAGGGGCCCAAGCAGAAGATAAGCCTCTGAGGCTGGGCGGCCACACCTGGCTCCCCCATTCCACAGCTGGTCCTCAGCTATCTCACGCTACAGCAGGGTGACCACACCTTGCTTACGGTACAGTGACGGGGCACAGGGGACATTTGTAACATGCTTTGTGACCTTTCCCCTGGCTTGACTCCAGGATGCCCAGGACCCCCTGAGGTTCCAACCATGCTGAAGTTGTTATCTCTGTGCCCAGCTGGCCCCACCTGGAGGTCCTCTCTGGGTCCCCTGGTGATGAAATGCACCAGACCCCAGCTGCCCACTGAGGCTGCATGGGGCAGACACTTATAGACTTCCCCACAACTCCTGGCCTCTGCAGCAGGGGCTGAAAGGTTGGCCCTTTGAGTCCCTGGGCCCACCTTGGGCCACACTCACCTCCCATGCCCGGAGTGGCTGGGATCCCGTGAAACATCCTGCAGGCTCAGGTGGCCACAGCAAAGACCTAAGGAGTAGAGCCAGTGCTAACTCAAAGGTGACCCCTAACACTTCTGGGCCTCACGGAGAGTTTCCCTGCCCTCAGCAGTCAGATGAGGAATGCCTGAGTTTTTTTTTTTTTTGAATTCCATGAAGAACTACTTTTCTGCTCCTTTTCCCGCTCTATACTTTTTTTTTTTTTTAAGATTTTATTTATTTGAGAGGGAGGGAGAGCAAGAGAGCATGAGCAAGGTAGACAGTGAGAGAGAAGCAGACTCCCTGCTGAGCAGGAAGCCCGATGTGGGGCTGGATCCCAGGACCCCAAGATCATGACCTGAGCCAAAGACAGACGCTTAACTGACTGAGCCCCCCAGGCGCCCAGTCCTGCTCTATCCTTGCTACGATCTGCACCCGCACCTTGCACACACCTTATAGTACAAATAACGTATGTCCTCACTGTAAAGGTCAAGGAGTTATTGATCTCTTTGCAGTCTTCCAGCACGGTAGATAACCTCTAAGGAGTGGCTGGGTGAGGCTGTCCTGTGCATATCTCAGACCACTGACTCTGGACATTTTGATGCCAAGACCCCCTGGTTCCGGGGTGTAATTCATTTATGGAGGACACCTACCTTTGTTCTGACCAGTTCCTGGATACCCGAGAGGACACATACACCAGACCCCAGTCCTCGATAAAAACCCCAGACCCCAAGCGAAGGAGAGACTCACTTTTCTTTCCTGAGTTTCCTAGATGCTCCATCTGCTATATTCTATCACTTATGCTATTCCGTAAGCTCTGCTCTCACTTTCTCCTGGCTCACGTTTGATTTCCTGTCCCATGTGAAGGCAAGGACCCTCTTGGCTGGTGGTGCAGGACCCCCCCTGGGTCCTCAGACCTGGCTGCCCTACACGCTAGTGATGAACACACAGGGCACTATGTGCAGCTCTGCCCCGAGACTGTCAGGAGGAAGTGGGTCCCGCCGGGCATCTCAGAACAGAGCCGTGGCAGTGAGGACTCAGGGCTCCCTGAAGGTGCTGTGAGCCGAGAAAGGAAAGGTGGCAGCCCTCAGAAGACCTGCGCAGGAGCACTTCGGCAGAGAGAAGAGCACACAGAACTCAAGGCCTTTACAGAGGAACGCAGGGAGAGGAACAGACAAGCGGGAGAGGGCTTTCTGAATGAAGAGGGACTGACTGGACCAAAGTGCACAGCTGTCACAGGCCAGGAGAGGGAGTTTTATAGTAATACAGCAGAAGCTACTGACGGGCTAAAGACAAGCTCCTGAGGCTCCCAGCCAGGCAGTGGGCTGGGAAAGAACAGAAGGCATGAGGCCCCTGGGAGGGTCTTGCCCACTCAGGAAGCTGATGCACTGGCTGGAGCCAGTTCCAGACATGCTTTAGACATGAAACCACCAGACCCACTTAAGTATTTGAAACGGGACGTTAATTAAAAAGGAATCAAGGGGCGCCTGGGTGGCTCAGTTGTTGGGCATCTGCCTTCGGCTCAGGTCATGATCCTGGGGTCCTGGGATCAGGCCCCGCATGGGGCTCCCTGCTCGGCAGGAAGCCTGCTTCTCCCTCTCCCACTCCCCCTGCTTGTGTTCCCTCTCTCCCTGTGTCTCTCTGTCAAATAAATAAAATCTTTAAAAAAATTTTTAAAATAAAGAATCAAGAACAATACCCCTGTGTCTGGGCCAATGACCAGTAAGGGGGCCTGAGCTGGAGAAGAGGGGAGAGGAGCAGGCTTGTAAGAAAGCGAGCGCTGGTGCTGATGTGTGGGGTGGGAGAGGCTCCACAGACGTCCGAGGAGGTGTGCCGCAGCTGAAGTTAGAGGAGAGGCCCAGGCTGGCAGGGCTGAGCCACGACACTGCGGCTGGGCGGGCCACACACAGGACGGTTAATAGGGGAACGATGAGAGAAAGCAGCCCAGGCTGGAGCCCTAGGGTACCCAGGGCACAGAGGCTGGGCAAGGGCAATGCGGCCCAAGCTAAGGAGCGCGTCTCCGAGAGGGAGGGATGCTGTCGGGAAGGCAGATGACGGACAAGAGCCCACTGGGTGGCGGCAGGGAGGCTGTTCGGCCACCGCCCCCCCGGGCTTCCAGGACGGGCCCGAAAAGAGCGGAGGCGCGAGCAATCGCTCGTAGTTGTACCGGGGATTCCACTCGGTCGCGAAAACCAGTGTCCCCCGGCTGCATGTCACAAGCCGGACGCTGACCCGAAAAGCGAGTTTCTCGACAATGCCCACGTTTGATCGTGTAGATGCCACTCGGGCTGCTACCAGGCCCAAGCGGGCAAGGAGGCGCCCCGAACGCGGCACACCCCGGGAGCCCGGCCTGCGCGGGGCCCGCACGCCGGCGAGTACCCCCACATGAGCAATGCACAGGACGCCCGCGGACCGAACCGGCGTCGCCTCTCCCCGTTCGGCTCGGCCGGCCCTTTCTCGGCCCCCCCCCCGCCCCACCCCCACCGGCCCGGGGTACCTGGGCTGGCTCCGCCGGTCGGGGAGACGGCGCCGCGCTGCGGCGCTCCGGATCGACCGCTCGGCGCTCGCCTTCACGCCTGCGCCTGCGCACACACGCCCCCCATCTGCGCTCAATCCCCGAGGTCTGCGCCTGAGCCCGCCTCTCCCCCAATCGACGGCCGCCGGACGTCCGCGCCTGCGCGCGCCGGAAACGGCCGGGCCCCGCCCCCCGAGCGGCACCGGGCCGGCGGCCCGCGAGGCGGGAAGAGACTCTGAAGGGGAAGGCGTGGCCTTCGCCCACGGGGCCTCTAAGTGGCCGGAACTGCCCTCCATTCCAGCGCGCTCTCCCTACAGCAAAGCGAACCCCGTTTCCCGCCCCCCACCCGCCTTTCAGGCAGCGGCGGCGGCGGTAGCAGCGTCCGTTTATTTGAGGCGTGGGGGGCGGGGGGCCCGGGCAGCGCCGGCCGCTCACAGGCGCCTGAAGAAGAGCTTGGGCCCTCGGTCCAGGGTGTGGGCGCCGGGGCCCGGCTGGCCGGGCAGCAGCCGGCGCAGGGCCGCCCGGTCCTCGGGGGAGAGGCGCCTGCTGCACAGCTGGAGCTCCTGCACGTGTGCCGCGATCTTGTCCCAGAGGCCCGGGCGCAGGGGGCCCTGCACGGCGCAGCCTGCAGAGGGGAGGCGGGAGGAGCAGGCGTCAGGGGGCTGGAACCCTCCGGAGCCCCACGCCCGTGCGGCGCTCGGGAGGAGACGCACTTCCCCTGAGGCCCCGAGGGCGACGGCTCGGTGCGTGGCAGAGGCCCCGCGAGGCCCGCACACACTCTGGGAAGGGGTGCGTGCTCCAGGGGGCCTCCCGGCTCTGTGGGCCCTGTCGGAGCCGGCTAAAACACGCTGCGGTCACAGCCGTGCCGCTTTGGAGGACAATGCCTGGGTCTCTCCATCCATAAAATGGACACAGTAGGGGTGCCTGTGGGTCTCAAGAGGACACTGAGCTGTCAGGGTCTGAGCTCCAGGAGGCTCAGGACCCTAGGGCGCGAGGGGAGGGGATGGTACAGATGCAGGTGTGTGCAGGTCGCCCAGCAGCCTTCACGGGCGGGGCTGAGGAGCAGGAAGAACCCAGGCGTTCCCTGTGCGCACACCCACTCCTTCCCAGTCCTTGTGCTCCTGGAGGGCAAAGCCCGGTACTGTCCTGCCCCAGCCCTAGCTGGATGTGCCAGCCTACTGGGTGGCCAGTTCACCAAAGTCGTGTCTCCTGGGGTCATCCTCAAAACAGCTTTGGTACTGTGCCTGGGTGTGGCCAGAATGAGAACAAGCTAAGACACCACAGGCTGGAAGGTAGGGTCCCAGCAGCCCCTGCCAGGAAGATCCCTTGGTGGCAAGCTTTTGCCATCCTGACCTTGAACTCCCTCCTCTTGCCAGTGGTAATTAGGAAATCCTCGTGAAAGGGGATCCCCAGCTACTATGGTCTCAGGGTCAGGCTGAACAGGTTAAAAGCAGAGATCCCATGTTCCTCCTGCCCCATTGTTTTAGGAGCTGGGCTCACACCCCCTTCCAGTCACTTTGGTCACTGTCACTGTCCCCCATTGTGTCAACCTCAGGGGACCCAGCCCACCCTTGCCATCTGGCTGGTGGCAGTGACAGCCCATACAAAGGAGGCACCTGGGCCTCAGGTAGGTACCCAAGCTCACCTGACAGGCCAAGGAAGCTGAGGAGGCCTTGGGGCCGCATCTGGAGGGCAGACAGAAGCTCCTCCAGGCCAACACCACTAATCTCAGGGTTGGCAGACAGGTCCAGTGAAGTGAGTGAGGGGCAACAAGGAAGACATCTGAAATGACAGGGGAAGAAGTGGTCAGCCTCCGGGGAGGGAGGCCCCCAACACTAGAGAAAGCTGCTCCAGACAAACCACAGCTCTGGGAGCCATAGGCCAGGCCCCACAGCCCCCTGCCCCCCTGCCCCCCTGCCCCCAGTGACACAGGTGCAAGTACTTCCCCAGGGCTAGCTGGACACTGCCAAGGCCCAGGCCTGGGGATGCCTGCCTGGCTTGAGTGCCCAACATTGCCAAGAGCCACCTGAGGCTGGAGGATCATGAGTGGCCCCTGTATGGGCTGTTGCACAAAGGGTGATGGGAAAGGCTCTCAGGAGCCTCAGGCGTGTGGGAAGGACAGGAGGCAGGATTGAATCTGGAAGGAGCTAGGTCCTGGGACACACTTGGGGGAGAAGCTGGTACCCCTTCCCTGCCTGACCTAGCTCCCCCAGGGTGCTGAGCCTTGAGACCAGACCCCCTTCAGAATGGCGTAGGAATGGATTACCTGCTCAGGTCTCTCACTGCCTTGTCACACAGGTGGTTTGCAGACAGGCTCAAGTGAGCTAGTACACAGCCTTCCTAGACAGAGCAGAGGCCCAAGGGGGCCTGGTCTGAGTGGGGTGCCTGCCCTCCCTGCCTCCCAGCAAAGGCCCCATACCCAGGTCAGATACCTTCCTTCCTCCTTGGGAACAAGGGGGCAAAGTCGGCCTGACCCCCAATGCACCAGAGGGGAGCAGTATCCCTTCAATTTGCAGATCAAAAGGAAACACCTCCCCTTCCAGGTATAAGTCACACTTGGCACAGTGAAAATCACAGGGACCAGCCCCACATGGAAGAGCCAAGGGAGAGAGCCCTGGAAGCCCTGGCAAGACCTTGGGACCTGCCTGGGGCAGGGAAGCTGCACTGGGTCCCGGGCACCTTTGCTGCTGGCCAGGAATTCACAGCTTGCGGCAGGCAGCTCTCCCACAGCTGTTCTTTCTGAACGTGCAACCCCCTTCCCAGGCTGCTCCCACCCCTGCCCAGTGTCAGCTGTGGGACTGGAGGCTGGATGGCCCGGGGATGCTTTGCTTCGGCACCCCCCCAACCACAGACATACCTTGGTCAGGTATCTGACCACAGGCTCCATGAGGCCCAAGTCACTCTTGCTGGCTGCCACGGAGCTAAGCTCCAGGCGCTGGAGGGTGCGCGCAGGCAGGTTCTGTAGGGCGTGGGCCAGGGCAGTGGAACCCAGGCTGTTGTAGGACAGCGACAGTGTCTTCAGGTGCCTGGCATCTGTATAGGGGACCGGAACCTCTGTCAGCCACACATGATCACCACCTCAGCCCAGCTGCAGTCCTAGGCCCAACACCCTCCCGACCCCACTGGGGAAGCTATCATCCCTGAGATTCTGTGCACACGGAACTGGGGTAGCTCCTGCCCAGGGTATCCCAGGCGAGGAGTGGGCAAGGCCAGACTTCTGACCCTAACTACTCCCCACCATCCCTGGGCCACCTGCCTCTCCGCACCTGAGACAGGACAGGCAACCCGAGACAGGCCCTGGGCCGGGATGTCTGTGCATGATGGGGTGGGGGGTGGGGAACACCACCTGCTGCCCAACCCCAGCTTCTCCCCCACTGTGCGCTCACATCCCTGAGTTCCACTTCCTCGCCCACCACTTCTGCAGAAAACCCCCCTGGAGGACTCCCAGTTCCCAGTTTCTCAGTACTGGGACCGAGGTTCTCTGCAGCCTCGGTGTGTCTATGGTGGAATTGTCTAAGGCAAACAGAACACTCAGAGCTGGTGAGGAAAGGGGTACTGCGATGGTGGCCCACGGCATGTCCTAGGGGAACGCCCCCGAGCCCAGGCAGGTCCAGCACGTCCAGTGACGTGCTCCTAGACAGCAGGCCTCGTGCCCTGGGGGCCCCTCTGGCACAAGGCTGTCTGTGCCCCTGGATGTACCCTTCTGACAACTGGAACCCTGGGGGCCAGGACGTGCACATGTCCGTCAGCTCACCTTGGAAGGCAGTACCTAGGGCTGCCTGGTGGCTCAGGAAGAAGCTGGGGCCAAAGCCACAGGCTTGGAGATGCAAGGTACTGAGTGAGGGGCAGGCCTGCAGGATGAATGCCAGGGCCTGGCCACAGCCATCCCCGAGGGGGTTCATGCTTAAGTCCAGCTCCTGCAAGTTCTGTGGAAGACATGGGCCCCTCTGGAGGATCTGGTCTCCTTGCTGTCCCAGAGCTGGGCAGTGGCCAGCACTCCCAACTGCACCTTCCCACCCAATGATGGGCCAAATGTAAATGTTCTGATGCTGCCCTAGGGCCGGCCTGCTGCTCCCCATGCTTCTTCTACCTGCAAGGTGGTCTGCCCCTGGAGGCCTGTGGCAAGCTGGCGTAGGCCTTCGGGGCCCAAGTGATTAGAAGAGAGATCTAGGAGGATCAGGCTGGGCATGGTGCCCAGGGCGGCCAGCAGCTCAGCAGCACATCCATCCCCCAGCCGGTTCCCTGCCAGGTGCAGCTCCCGGAGCGCTGTGTGCAGCTTGAGGGCCCGCAACAGTGGGGTGAGCTGGGTCTGGCGCAGGGCCAGGGAGCAGGCACTGAACGAGGGGCCGGAGCCCTGGCAGTCCATGGCCTGCAGCACCTCCTGGTGCTCCTCTGGAGGGGGGACGGGTGTCACCAGAGCCAGAACCTGCTGTTCTGCCCTGTGAATCCTGGGGGTCCCACCAAACATGCCCCCCTCACTCGTGAGCCCTGGGACACCCACCAGAGGTGCTGCAGAGCCCACTCCCACAGCCTGGAGATCCAGCATTGTGGGAGCCCCAACGCATGGCTGGTGGGTGGGGATGACCACTCTCTGCCTTGTCAGGCCCTCCTGGGCAGGGCCCAAACCTCTGCCAGCCACCCCCACACCCCACAGTGCCCATGTCAGCCTTCTCTGGAAAGCCACCCCAGGCCTAGCCTTCGGTGGCTCTGGTGACTACGTCGTCCCACCACCAACAGGACCGATCTTCCCCCACCTGCCACCCACATGTGTGGGCACCAGGTAGAGGAGGAAAACCTGAGGCCAGCTGCAAAGGGAGCGTGCCTCACTGGCTCCTTGGGGCTCGGGGACGTGAGGCCCCAGACCTGATAGTGGCACAGGAACATGCCCCTCTGCCCAGGCCACTTCCAGCTCTCTTGGGCCCCTACCTTGCTCCAGGCTCTGGCAGGCCCTGCGGTAGCGGTCAGTCAGTGGGGGGAGGTCCCACGAAGTGACTTCAGCCAACACCTGCAAAGCACCATCAGTAAGCAGCCCAGGGGCACCCAGTGCTGGGGCACTCTCTGTGTGCATGGGGCCCAGGCTCCTGCCACTCACCTCCTCGTTGCTCTGCAGCACATCGGGAATGGGGTCCTGTGGGGCCAGCAAGGCCCCCTCCTTTCGCAAGACGAGCCTCGGCAGCAGCCCACAGGCCTGACAGTAGCGCTCGGCAGCCTGCTCAGCTAGCCAGGCCACAGAGTGGGTCTCCCTGCTGCAGGGACAGAGGGAGAGCAGAGCTGGCCGGGACCCTGCCCACGCTGAAGAAAGGCCACCCTCGTCCCTGCTCTGGGTCTACGGACCCTTTACCTGGCGCCTCCCCTCCTCCTGCCCCTGCTCAGGACATGCCCGCGAGCCCAGCAGCCTGACATACTTGCAGCTCTTCTAGGCTTTTCCTGGGGCCCATAGGGCCCGACCTAACCCCTCCAGGGCCCTGCCTATGCGCATGCAGGGCACCCTTTCCCTGCTCTCTGACCTCCCCCAGCCAGCAGCAGTGACACATCCAGTCCGAGTGAGTCCTTGTTACCCACGCCAACTGATACGCACACTCGAGGGTTCTCCCGGGGGCACAAGGCGAACAGGGACTTGGAGGGCAGGTGCTGTTTACCTGTGTGGGACGGGGATGAGGAAGAGGCTATCCTGCACTCGCACTCGCACCCGGATGGGAGGGGGCAAAGACGGAGCCTGGTGGGGGGGGGGGGGGCAACAGGCGGAGTCAGAAAACGCAGTTGTCTACCCTCACCACCCCACTGCTCCCACCTGAGGGGTGCACCCACCGAGGGCTGGCCTGCCGCTGGGCTGTCCCCACTGGGCCCCGAGGCCCTGGAGATGTCAGGGCTCCTTGGAGGGTCTGCGGCTGAGCTGCCGTCTCCCCCTGCCCTGCCCGGTGCATTCCAACTCCTGAGATGGGGCAGCCGGCTCTGCCTGGTCCGGGCCCAGAGCCGCCCGGGGCTCCTGCTGCTGCCTGACCCTGAGCCACTGTGAACGGTGCTGTCCCCACTGCCCTGGGGGTGGGGCAGATAGCCATCCTGGCGGCTGTGGGTCAATGGGGAGTCGTCCTCCAGCCAGTCCCCAACCAGACACTCCTCCTCAGGGATAAGCGCCGCCCGGTGCGGGGTGGGCTCACCTGAGCCCCAGGGCAGGCCGGGCCCAGGGTGGCTGATCTGGGCCCCACCCACACCTCGGATGGCCGCCCGGGCAGCACTCGCTGCCGCTGCCTCCCTGTTGCTTGTGGAGCCAGGGACCCCGGCTTTGGCCTGTTGTGCCGGGACACAATGCCGGGGCCTCTTGTGGGCGGGCCGGGGGGGGCCCGGGTAGTCCTCACCCTCTGAGCTGCTGCTGCTGGCCAGCTTGTGCCTGGTCCTCCGAGGCCTGGCCACAGCCAGAACCGCCTGCCCTGAGGAGACGCCAGCACGGGCCTGAGAGGTCTCTGGGGGTCCTGGGCAGGGGCTCGAGGGAGGAGAGATCTCAGGGTCGAACAGATGGTGGCGTGGAAGGGTGTGGGAGGCCAGGGAGCTGTGGGGGGCTGTGGAGAGACGGAATCTAGCATGACGCAGTGCCCAACACTGTCCCAGCCACCCATGCTAAAATGCCCCTGAGAAGCAGGGCCTAGGGCACTCTCAGGCCAGGGACAGGCGTCCCCAGGGGCAGAAGAGGCCGCTACTTGCCTTGGCCTGAGGAGGCCGCCCTGAGCAGCCTCTCCATGGCGCCAGCCTTCTCTCGGGTCTCGCTGTCCAGATCCTTGCCATACAGCTTCACCCACTGCTGCAGCGTCTCCAGCGGGCTGTGCCCCTGTGTGGCCGCCAGCTGAGCGGGGCCGGCAGGGCACCCCCCCCGCCACAGCCTGAGCCCGCCCGGCCCTCACCTCCCCCACTCACCTTCACGGTCCGGAGCGTGACGGATGCTCCCCGTTCAATGAGCAGTTCAGCTACCTCAAAGTGACCGCAGTGGAGGGCGTCGTGCAGGGGAGTGATGCCCTCACAGCCCTGGCCGCCTGGGTCATCGACAGCAGCCCCATGGTCCAGCAGGAAGCGCACAATGTCTGCGGGCCAGGGGACACAGACTAGCTCCCAGCCCTTGTTGGCCCTCTCCATGGTGTGGCCTGGCCCCGTACTCACCCAAATGCCCATAGTTGCAGGCCTCGTGCAGAGGCGTCCAGCCACAGTAGTCCCGAGGGTTCAGAGGATGGCCCTGCGACCGAGGACAAGAAAGAGCCCAGCCTCACCGCGGGGCTGAGGCTCCAGGAGGGCCAGAGCCTGGGTCTCAAAGCCCAGAACGGGCCCACAGGCCCAGGTCCCAGCAGAGAGAGATGCTCGGCACATGAGACGCCTCCTCTCAGGGAGGCCCCCGTAGGGGCTCGTGCAGGGCTGGCGCACCCCCCAGCCCCCATGCCCTGTGCTACCCTCTTGTGGGGGACCACGTACTCCAGGACAAAGTCCCCGCTATGGCCCACGGGGTACCTAGAATGAGACTGCAGACACACCTGTCTTACGAGGTCCCGGACACGACCCAGACGACCCTCGATGCAAGCTCGGTGCAGCAGGGTCTCCCCGACGTCATTGCGCCGGTTCCACTGTGGACAGTTGCCCCAGGACAGGGAGCAGACGTGTAAGGGAACCGGGCAGTCCCGGCAAGCATGGGGGGGCCCACACAATGCCCCCACACCATCCTCACCTTGCTCACCCTCTGCTGGCCTAGGCAGCCCCGCAGCTCCTCATCCTCCTCCAGCTGCTGGGACCAGCCCTCAGAATCACCCTCTGGAACAGAGCCGAGCCCACTCCAGGTAAGCCAAGCCCCGGTGCCCCCTGCCCCCAGGGTCCCTGACCTTCCAGACCTGGAGGATGGGGGTCCGGTGCCAACTGCCATCCGACTCCCTGCCCTGCCTGTGGCTGTCCCCGCCCGCAGTCCCTTTGCCTGCAGGGGATGCGCCTGACCTTTCTGCCCACCTGACCCCCGTCCATCAAGGGCTGACCTCTCACCCCATGCTCAGACCCTGCTCTGGATCTTCCCACCCCGGACGTCTGCCCCCCCTCCTGGGAAGCATCTTTGTTGGACTAAGTCATGGTCACGTTACAAACGGTTCATCCTGCGAACCCAGGTGCCTTCCACCTGTACATCCCTGGCCTTCCCATCTGCACCTGCCTCCAGCTCACTCATTGCCTGACCCCAGTCCTTTCTCCTGTGCCTCTGGTCCTTGCTAGAACCTTCTTCTCCTTCCTGAACTCCTCTTACTGCGAGCACCTGTTGAGTGGTGTCACCTGAAGCTCCTGCTTTGGTCCTGACTCTCCCGTGGCTCCCTACACCTGCACACCAGTGACACCCAGCCTAATCCCCTCTCAGGTATGGCACAGACTTCCCACAGCCCTTGGCTTCTCCCGGAGAGGTTCTGGAAGCCGCCCAAGTTCAAAACTGAAATGATTCCTCCCGGCCTCAAAGACAGGTTTCCAGCCCCCACCTCTCAGCCCGCACCCACCACCTGGCCCGCCTCTGCCCCGAGGGTCCCAGCCCCAGCCCCAGCCCCTCGCATCCACCTTCCACAGGGCGGACCACGCAGCCTATGCATAGCAGCCTACGTGCTATCTGCGCGCCCCTTGCCCGCCCTGTGCCTCCCTCTCATGGTGACATTTCTCCAGGCCTGACCCTGTGCCTCCCTCTCATGGTGACATTTCTCCAGGCCTGACCCTGCGTCTCCTCCCCTTGCAGTGCCCACTAGCCTTCCCATCATTTGCTCCTCCAGGAAGGGTCTGGGGCTGCCCCAGCCTCTCCACACACAGCTCTCTTCCCTCTACCAGTACCGAACGCCCTTCCTGCGCGGGGCTGGATCCTCCTGTCACATGCCAGTCAGCAGCCCCCACGAGAGCTCCACCCTCGCCCACCCCAGCCAAGGGCCCAGCCCCAGCCATCGCCAGGAAGGGCTGGGGAGGAAAGGCCGGGGGGAAGGGCGGGGGGGGGGGAGGACCACGGGGGGAGGGCCAGTTGGGAAGGGCAGGGGTGGCCGGCGCAGCAGCCAAGGCAGCATTCGGGCCTCACCACTCTCTGAGAGCTCCACGTCGCTGGCCTCTGGAGTGTCCCCGTCACCCTCCTTCTCTTCCTCATCGCCCTCCTCCTGGTCTCTGGGAACACTCAGCTCCTGCAGTCGGGCCGCGGTGTCAGGAGCCTCCTGGGGCTGCAGCCTTAGCTGCACGGTGTGGAGGTGCTGTAAGACCTGCCTCTGAGAAGCAGGGGAACCCCAGCTCAGGGCCACAGGGCCAGCAGACCCCGAGTGGGGGAAGAGGGGGTGGGCAGCTGCAGGGAATGTCCTCGTGGGCTTTCAGACCTGCAGCTGGGGCCGCTGGGCCTGCTGGGCACAGCTGAGCGCCTTCTGGAAGCAGGGGGCCAGGAGCTCGTAGGCGTCACCGGCCTCCTCCCGGGACAGGGCGATGTTTAACCAGGTCTTGGCCTCCTGCAGCAAGAGGAGGGAGGAAGAGCGGCTGCCCACCCACTGGACTGGCCCCAGCCAGGGCCGGCCCCACACTGTCGCCCACGGGGAACAGCCCTGGAAAGAGGATGCTTGTCCATGCCCATCACTCAAGGGTGGCTGTCCTGAGGCAGAACTGTGGGGACCTACCTGGAGCCCCTCTGCACCCTGCGTAAGGCTGGGCACCATCACTGCTCACCTCCAGAGCGTCACCACCACGCAGCCTCAGCTCCTGTTCATAGTGGGACACAGCCCGGCGGTGGTCCTTCATGTCTCCCCAGGTGGTGGCCAGGGACACGTGGATGATGGCCAGCTCGGGCCCTGGCCGGCCCAGCAGCTCTGCAAAATGCAGCTGTAGAGGCAGATAGCAAGGCCACCACTGCCTTGCACCTTGCCAGCCAGGCTGTCACAGCCCCTTTCCTCCCACCTTGGCAGGGGACGCACACCTGCTTCTGGTAGGCCTCAGCCGCCTTGGGGAAGTCGCCTGCCTTGGAGAACAGGTCCCCCAGCTGCTCACAGATGCCCATGGCAACCTGAGGGTCACTGCCCTCAGACTCCTGCAGCTGCTCCTGCAGCTGGACCACGGCCAGCACTGCAGACAAGAGCCTCATGTGAAGGCAGGCACAGCGCACCTCCGACCTGGCTGCCTCTTACGTGGGCCAGCCGCCCTCTCCACGCCCCGCTCGTCCCTTGGTAAGAGGGGATAGTAAGAAAATGCAGCCCATGGGGTCGTGAGATCAGGAAAATGAAAAAGTGACAACTGAAAGCACCTGGCCTGCAAGGGAAGCCACACCCGGCGCCCCTCTCCCACAAGACCGTTGTCTCCACTTTGCCAGTGAGGATCCTGCTCACGTATCAATGCCCAGCCGCGCTCCTGACCACCTCGTCCCCCTCTGACACACTGTGCTGAACCCTCACAGAAAAGTGGGGCTCGCTTCCCAACAAGAAGGGGGGGCAGGAAAAGGCTCCACACTGATGCTGCCACCTCCCCACCCCTTCTGGGGGACTTCAGCCCCTCAGGTCCCCAGACTCACCGTATTTCAGGGTCCGGCAGACTGCCGCCTTCTGCAAAGGCTTCTGGAAGCCCAGCCGGTAGGCTTTCTTCAGGGCTCTTTTGGCAGCCAAAAAATCGCCCAGGTCTTGGAGGATCTGTGGGGGGAAGGGAAGGTGAGACCTGCAGACTCCGCAGAGGCCGAGCGCCTCGGCGGGTTAAGCCCAGAGCTGGGAGAGCAGGCACCTGTGAGATGAGCACGCAGCACTCGCTCTCCATCAGCTCCTTCCGCAGGACGCGTGCACACTCTCGGGCCCCCTCCAGGCAGCGCATGGCTTGGGAGTGCTGCCCTCGGCGCCAGTGGATGGCACCCAGGTTGTAGCGGGCACGGAACAGGTCCTCGTAGAGGTGGTTCTGCCTGCGGGTGGTGACAGGTGCTCAGAGTACCTCTGGGATAGCACAGAGAGCACTGGAAGTGCTGACATGCAGCCGCACCTTCCCCAACACTGACGTGCTCTAGCCGTGCAGGGGCGCCTCTGCTCAGAGGAGACTGACGGGGCAGGGGAGGGCAGATGGGTGGTGCACTCTCACGAGGCCCCTTCCTCTGGGGACGGAGGCCTTACTCGGCGAGGAAGATGCTCTTCCGGAAGTAGTCGTTGCACGGCGCCATCTGCCGCAGGCTTTCGAAAGTGAGGCCCAGGTTGAGGTAGAGTCGGGTCCTCATCTCGCTCAGTTCCCGCCTGGCCAATGTCCCTGGAAGATGCCCCCCCCCAACATCAGTGGCCGGCGGGGCATCACGCCCACTTGGGGTATCCAGCTCTGGGTCTGCGCAGCCTCTCCCCGACCTGTCTCACACTGCGGGGCCCAGGGGTCCTGCTGTAGACAGAGCACAAACAGACACAGAGCAGACAATGCCCAGACCTGAGGTTGTGAGGAGCACGGGCCGTGCATCTCCTCACGGGAGGCTTGATGGACACATCTCAGCCTTATAAAGGGAGGGCCCAGACCAGTGGAACCTGCCATGCACACCGGGCAGGCTGTGAGGCTACAGCCTCCTTGGCCAGCAGGTCTGGAACCAGAGGCTGGGGAAGGCAGGCCTCCACGACCACTCACCCTGCAGCTTCTCGTCCACAATAGCCAAGCTCTTCTCAAAGGCAGCCTGCGCCTGCAGCAAGGTGTCCTGTGACTGGCAGTGGTCATAGATGTCCAGGTAGGTGCGGCCAATGGTGGCCCAGGCCCTCTGCACCTCAGTGTGATTGGACAGAGAATGGGCCAGCTCCAAGTAGCGATGCTGGTGCTAGGGTGCAAAGGAATGGCCTCTGTGAGCCAACCTGCCCCACCTCAAGCACATCTCTTATGTACTCCAACTCCAGAAGGTCCCTACCTTTGCTCAGGAGAGTCCCCTACTCCCCCAAGTCCCTACAGAGCAGGCCAAAGCCAGGCTGCACATGTCCCATCTCTTCTATGCCAAGGGCTGCCTGTGGGGACGGTTGGTGCCCCACTCCAACCCGCGAACATCATCATGAGGAAGAGACAAGTGGGAGTTAGCTGGGCTGCTGCAGCCGCACTAGCCAGGGCCAGAGCAGGCCCTCTGTGGACAGTGGGCCCAACTCCCCAGCGGGCCCACAAACACAGCCCAAGTGTTATGTTCACTAATGGTTGCTGGGCCCAGGCCCCTAGGGCAGGCTATGATGTGCCTACCCAAGGACCAGACTACAATCCCCCAACACAGTGCTGTCTGAAGAAAAGGCCATGTCCAGGCGTGTCCTCCTCTAGCCAGAGGTCAGACACTGAAGACTGTGCTTCCCTCCTCAGAAAGGGACCAACAGGAAGCGTGGGCCCTGGAGGGCTGGATGTGGTTGCAAGGGTGCTGGGGGTGGGGGTAGGCTCCGCCCACCTTCAGGGCAGCTGAGTAATCCTCCAGCTCAGCCAGTCGCTCTCCGACCTTGCGGTGGGCCACGGCACAGCCCAGGGGGTCGTCGACGCTCTCCAGGAGCTGGAGCTCATGCTGGTGCTCTCGCAGGGCCTCTGCGTAGCGACCTGGGCGGGCAGGCACGGCAGGCTTCAGCCCCGGCCCGGCAGTCAGCCAGGGGCTACGCGGGCGAGTGCGGCGGCGGGCGGCCCTGGGCTGCTCGCTCAACAAGGTTCCCTCCCCCCTCCCGCCGGTCCCCGTCCCTTCCGGCCCCCGAGTGTCCCCCGACCTCCAACACCCCAGCTCTCCCGCTCCTGGACCACAACCTGGACCAGGCGCGGGGCACGCACCATGGCTGGCCAGGAGCTCCCCCAGCTGGTGGCAGAGGACGGCCTCGTCCCGCAGCTGCCCGCTCCTCTGGGCCTTGGCCTTGGCCTTGCTCAGCTCTGCAGAGAGAGAGAGACGAAGCCGGGAGGCTGAGCCCCTTCGCTCGGGCGGGCCAAACCCGCTCCCGACCCCACACCCGGCCGGGAGACTCACTGCGAAACTCGCGCTCCAAGTTCATGCTCAAGCAGCCGCGCGCGGGGAGCCGGACTTCCCGCGCTCCCGCCGCGGCCCCGCGCCAGGCCCCGCCCATGCCTCGGAGCATCCCGGGAAGTGTAGTCCAGCCGCCCGAAGCATCCTGGGAGCTGTAGTCCGGGGGGCGTTCACTTGCGAAGGGCGGCGAGAGAGCGACGGGAGGACCGGCGCACCTCCCCAGACTCCTGGGGCCGCGTGGGAGCTGAGCCCCACCCCACGCTCCTCCCCGGCCCCGCAGTCGCCTTTGGGGTGGGGTCTCCTGGGCTTGTGCCCGCGTGCTGCCGCTAACCTTACACACACACGCAAATCTACCTACACCTGCGACTTCACCTGAGGGACGCACCGCTTTCATATAAAAGGAGATGAAAGGGTTTATGATCGAGTACCCTTGAGCACTTGGATAGGTGCACGGAATCAAATACGCCCTTTTTCACAGAGCCTGTGGAACAACCGCGAAGGCAGCCACAGAGTCGTCTCATGCGCGAACCCCCAGTGCTTGGTGCGGGAAAAGGGGGTGGACGTGTTTCCCAAACTGAACAGAGCAAGGTACTTCTGCCTCAATGCACACACGCTGAAACCTTGTGGGCTTGGTGCGCCCAGGCCACAGACCTCTAAATGCCTGTCCTGTCTCCCACTGCTCCGAGAACCAAACACGGGCCATGCCTTGGAGATTTCAGTCCCCACTGGGTGTCATGGGCCGGTGTCCAAAGGCCCCAGAGGCGGGCCAGAAACGGTGGGATGGTGGATGCATTTGTTTTCTATGGAAATCGAAACAGACCCAATAGGGTAGAAACCCTGAGGCAGTGCATGGACCGTAAGGCCTGTGGTGGAGGGAATGATGTAGAGAGTAGATGGGTCTCTGGGTCCAGGGAAGACTGCCCAGGGCCAGTGACCAGGCTTCAGGGATGGGGGCAAAGCCGAGCCTGAGGAAGTGCAGCCGATGGGAAGTTGGACCCAGGTAACCCTCTTCTCTTGGAAGGATAAAGTGCTCTGCAGGTCCCTAGTTTGGTCTGGGCATCGGAGCAGAACAGGAAGGCCCTGAAACCGAGAGGGCTGCTCGGAGGGCCTGCTGGTGGAGTGTGAGAAGCACAGTGAGGGGCAAGGTGGAGATGGGGCAGGGGTGGGAGAGCCAGGCCATGGGAGTAGAGACGGGCTCAGCTCAACAGGCCAAGGGCAGAGGGAGTCTCCCCAGAGCTGCTGGGAGCATTCGGCATTCACAAGACAGCCAGAGAGGACCCCACTTTGCTATGCCTCCGTCTTCCCACCGATCAGGCAAGGAGGTGTGTATGGGGCAGTACTGAGCAGGGGCCGTGGGGTGGGGGGCCCAGTGGGGGCAGCTCCTGACTCCTGTCCAGGATGCTAGCAGAGCCCAGGGAAACGCATCCATGAGGCTGGCTTCTCACATAAGGAAACACAGACAAAACATGGTTTGGAATTTTTTTGAAACTATAGTTACATACAGAAAATATCCAAAGAGAACACAGACCACAATAGTGACACGTTAAGTCATTTCCCACAGTGATAAAAACACCTCTCGCTTTACTCTTTAAAAAATTATTTTTATTATTTTTGTAAATGTCTCCATTGGGTGAACTGAGGGATGTAGTGCCCGTAGGGGAGTGGTGATGGCAGGGAGTAGAGGGGCCAGCTTGGTCTGTGCCCCCAGGACTCCCCCACATCTGCCAGGGTTCTTCCCCCACTCTCTCTAGGTCAGGATGCCAAGATGGCAAAGGGTCCTGGAGACAGACCACGGGTGTTTTCTCCTTTCTAACAACATGTTTGGGACATCCCCAGTAAATCAATGACGCCCCAGTGAGATGCCACAGGAGGTTTGTGGCACCAGCTCCCAGGAGTGGCTGAGACATACCACCATCTCCCAGGGTGCCTGTCTCCACCAGGCTGTAAGGCTCAGCTGCTGAGGTGACTGTCACAGGGTGGGGGCTGGGGACAGCGATGCTGGGATGTGTTACCACTCCCCCCCCGCACCCCCAGACACATGCCCCTACAAGGAAGGCCTTGTGTGGGTGCCACCCTGCCCCCCCATGCCCTTGGGCTGCTGGAAATAGTGGGCTCTATGCCCACAGCACCCAGGAACCCCTGGTGTGCAGAGCCCAGCCCGTCTGCCACCCCCATCCCCAAGGACTGCTAGACCTAGGACTGCAGAGACATGGCTGAGGAGGCCCAGCCACATACCTGACCTGCGTAGAGATCTGCTGCCTCCCACCCTGTCCCAGCTAGGAGAGCCTTTGGGCGCCACCCCTTTGCTGCACCCAAACACAGGCAAGCCTGCCCTGGCCTGGCTCCTCTACCACATGGTCCTCTGAAATCCAGAAACTCTACAGAGACGGTGTCCATCCCCAAGAGATGCTGAGATGCAATGACACGGCACCATTCCCTCTACACACGAGACCTGGCACATGGCTATCTGAATGTCATCCTCTGGGCCTGCTGGGCGGGGAGCAGCCCTCGAGGGCAGTGGGACTCTTGCCAGGGTGTGCCCCCGAGGATGTGCTGGGGGCTGGGGTGGCATCTTTGTGGAGGGTAGGAAAGCAAGCATAGCACCTCTAGGCGCCCTCAGTGGCCAGGCACAGATGGCCTTGCAGGAGGGGTTCCCACATAAGCCCCGTGCCCTAGGCTGGGAACAGGAAGCTAACCAGTCTTCTCAATATAACTAGGCCAGCTGCCCTGGGGGGAGAATTGGCTCAGAGGGCTGCCTGGGCTCAGCACTGGGATGAGGCATCACTCTACCCCTGGCCTCCCTGCCTCCATTTCTCAGCTCCCAGCTTGAGGGCGGGGAGAGGGAGGGACCACAGAGCAAGGCCAGGCCTGCAGCTCTGCACTCTTGCTGCCAGGGCTCCCCAGTATGGTGAGCCTACAGGGCCTGGGAAATGGGGGGCTAGGTCAGGAGGAGGGCAGGAGTGGCAGGGACTGCTCTGAAGCATTCAGTAGGCCAGGCCAGGGGCAAAGGAAACGGTTCTTTGGTATTTAAGCAACAGAAACCTATCGCAGAAGAGCCGTGTCTCCTAAGCAAAGGAGGGGGGCCCGAGCTTTCCCCTTTCCAGCAGCTCTGAGGGTCCCAGGGGCCTCCAGGGAGGGCTCCTTCCCCCGCTGTGAGGCCCACACACTGAGGACTGCTCACTGCAGGCCAGGGCCATGGGGGCAGCAAAGTTGAGGCTTGAAGAGCTCCCTCCAGTGAGAAACCAGGTTGCCCAAGGACTGACCTCTGTGGGGGCACCCCCCCTACACAGGGCCAGCATCATGAGGGATGGCCAGCCCACTCAAACCCTCCCCCAGCCAGGCTAGCTTATCACCAGCAGCCCCCACCCACAGCTTCCCTCACAGGCTGGGGATGCTGTGCCCTCAAGGCTGAATACATTTTTTTGATTCTCTCTTGCTAAATTTCATAACTTATAGAAGAACCTGTAAAGAGTTTAATTTTTTTCCTGGGAAGAGACAGAATTTCACCCTGCATATTCCGAAGCATCTGCTGAGCCTGGGTGGCCAAGTCCTGCCTCTCTGGGGCAGCTGGTGGGGTGGGGGGTGCGCTGGGGCCGCTGCAAGACCCTGGCTCTGGTGGGGGGTGTACATGGAGATGTAGTAACAAGGACCTCTGGGCTCTGACCCCCAGGCTGAATCAAAGCTCCCCCAATGTCCCATCGCAGCTATGCCTTTCCCTCAAACAAAACAGAAAGTAGGAAACAAGGGTGCCTTTTTAATTGCAATCAAATATGCCGTCTGAAGTCAGCGTGCTCCCCGAGCCCGGCCCAGGGGCCGGGCACGGCCCAGAGCAGACGGTGCGCCTCACTGCGCCACTGGGGGCCAGGGCGTGGCCACTGGGCTTAGCCCCATGGTGTCCCTGAGCCACCGTTTCCTCTGCAGGTGGCCCAGCCTCCGGTGCCTGGGACAGGGGAGGCGGGGCAGAGCGTGAGGCGTGAGCACTCACACCTTCGCACACGCATGCAGACTTTCCAATGTTCGCATTCATTCCTTCCCCTCCGTTGCTCAAATGGTCAGACAGCATGGTGAAGCCACCGCTGGGCAGGCGTGGGCAGCACAGCGGAGCCGCCTACTTCTGTATCTGGAACAGGAAGAGCCGCAGGTTGATGTTCTTGGCGGCCAGCAGCTTGTTGCACTCCACGGAGTCGACGATGGGCAGGGGCACGTAGTCCGTCTCGTTGCTCTCGTTGGTGAAGACGAAGTGGTAGATGACCGGGCTGATCTTCACGTCGTCATAGGGACCCTTGAGCAGCAGGAAGGAGCACTCCAGGGGCGCCGTGACCTTGCTCTTGAGGAGAAGCTGGAAGGAGAGTGTGCGCTTGCACGACAGGTTGGGGTTACGCTCGGAGTCGTTCACGCGCGCCTTCAGGACCCACGTCTGGTTCAGCACCGTGAACCTTGGCGTCTCGTAGTACAGGCGCGTGATGAAGTCATCCGTGCGGTACGGCCGAAACTGGACCTCTGTGGAGACAGACAGGCCGGGAAGAGCCGGCAGTCAGTGTGGGCAGGGCCGGGGGTGGCGCCTTCCAAAGGCCGAGCGAGGATAAAGGCTCAGCCAGGGAGGAAGGCAACTTACCAGGAGGACACAGCGTGCTCTACTTGTCACAAGGCAAATCAAACGCAATTATGGCAAATGGAGGCGTACACAAGCTTGGGGGAAAGAACTACAAACAGAAGTAACACGCATTAGCTGCAGGGAGTCTGGAGGCTGAAGGAAGTGAGCGGCCCGACCCTCGCTGGCCTCCCTCTTTGCCCCCCCCCAGGGCCCAGCCCAGGCAGAGGGAGGCCCGCCCAAGGGGCGTGGGTAAGCAGACACACAGACAGGATGCGTTCTGAGAACAAGTGCACTTTATTGGTTCTGATACAGAGCTGCCAGAAAAGCCGGCAGGCGGGCGGGCGGGCAGGCGCGTGGCACGTGAGCCTGCGTGGGGCGCAAGGCAGAGCGCTGGCGTGTGGCCCAGTGCTGGGCTCCTGTGCTGTCACACAGTTCTCTCAGCACAGCCCGGGGCCCACGGCCCACGAGTCCCTCCACGGAGGTGGCCAGTCCTTCCTGTGTGGACGGGGATCCCTGCCCGGCCACCGCCACCATCATGATGCCTCAGCCCGCCCAGACCCACAAGGCCTGGCCTGGACTGTTTGTGCCATGGCGCCCACCAGGGCAGCTGAGGCTGCAACTAACCAGGGGCCACGACCTTCTGCTGCTGAGGCTGCCGGGCCCTTCGCTCTCAGGCCTGTGCAGGCCCACACCTAGCCAGGCCTAGTCCAGGCAGCACGGTGTGACTGGTTGCCTGGGACCGCCCTTGATGCTCTGAGCCGGCTGCCTGGTGTGGGCTGAGCAGTAGAGGGCTGTAGTCTCCCTGAGTGGCCCCAGTGTCAGCAGGTGCTTCTTGCTGTTCTCTGTATCTGGACCAGGCCCTGGCCTGGCTCCTGCTCCCCAGCATGTCCAAAAGCAGTGGCAGTGGCCAGGCGAGCCCATGAGATCCAGTGGGCCTGAGCGTGGTCCAGCCTGCCCGTCCCTGGGCGTCCACTCCCAGCTCTGCATTTTGAGCTGAGCACCCTCAGCTCATTCAGGAGCCCTGCCCCTGAGCATCTTCTTGATGGCCTCAGGAGACCCGTGGCCACTGCAGTAACTGCCTGCAGGCAGGACCGGATGTGCTGAGTGCTCTTCTTGCCTTTGGCTCCGCAGGGCAGGCCCCTAGCTGCTGGGCCCTCCAAGACACACCCACCTTCTGCTTAGACACTGACTGTCCCAAGGACTGTGCAGCCCCACACAGTAGGATGTCACCTTGTTAGGGTGGCAGGCCCAGGGAGGGGAGGACAGGTGGGAGGGCCTCTGAGAGCCATGCAGGTGCCCCTGGGGTCCTGCCCCGGCCCCTCCCCTGCTTGGCCTCTGGCACGTCTTCTCCCCCAAGGTGTCCTCCCATTCACCAAAAGCTTGTCCACAGCCTGGCCTTCCAGCATGGCCTGTGCCCACTGCTCAGAACCCACTGCTCCCCAGGCTCCCAGCCGCTGCCCCCCCACCCCCACCCCCAGCCTGTGCGGCATGCAGTGGGTGGCAGGGCGCCTCACCTGTGTAACCGATCTTCTCAAAGCTGAGCAGGCTAAAGATGCTGTTGTAGAGCTGCATCTCCTTGCGGTGGCTCTGGTCCATCTCGTCTAGGATCTCCATCAGCTCATTGCCCGTCTTGGTTGGGTGGGCACATGCAGCCTCATGCACCGTCAGCTCGTGGAAGGGGCCATGCCACGGGCAGCCGATGCGCTTATATTTGCACTGGGTCACCCTGGGGAGGAGGCGAGCACCGTGGTCACAGCCTGCGCCCTGTGGGAGGTAGCTCTGCCCAGCCCTGCTCATACAAATTATGCCTTAAAGGACATATCCACCGTGTGCCAGCCCCCAGGAAGGGGTCGGAATGTGTGGGAGAGACTGAGAGAAAAGGAGCACGTGAGAGCTGTGAAGATACATGCCACCTACACCCTTTGCTGGGAGGACTCTCTTGCTTGGCAACAGTGGCCACTGACCATGATCTTGGACCCTATGCAGCTTCGCTCTATGTGAGGCTCGCTGGCCTGACCACCGGCAGACAGCAGGGTCAGCCAGCAGGGACTGGGTTAGGGTGCCCATGCAGCTTCACGCTAAGCTCCCAGAGCTGGCCAAGGACAGAGAGCCTCTAAGAGGTCCCTATGCAGCCAGAGAACCTTGGAGAGCCAGGGTGATGTCCAAACAGCCACTGGGTCCAGATCACAGCCCCCTGCCCTCTGTAGGGCCCACGCCTGCTCCCCTCCAGGGCCTGGGCCCCGAGCAGCTTCACCCTGGCCCATTCCCTCCAGGTTGTCACTGGGCTATGTGTGCAGAACCCAGGGCCAGGGCAACAAAGACCAACCAAAAATAACCCACATTCTGGGGCATCGCCTGCAGCAGGGAGGCCTCCAGCCCCATCCTGGGCCCCACACATGTGGTTACACCTCCGGCGGGCAGGCCGGCCCAGGAGGTTACCTGTCCTGGCACTCCTCTTTCTGGTGCCTCTCCAGGAGGGAGCGGGGAAACTGGCGCAGGCAGAAGCCACACTCGGAGGGCAGCTCGCTCACGGCTTTCTCCACAGCCAGGTTGCGGCAGCAGAGGCTCTTACTGATCTCACAACGACAGTTAGGGCATGTGGCCTGCTCCTCCTTCAGCCGGGCATCTGCTAGTAGGTGGATAAAACAGCCAGCGCACATCAAGTGACCGTTAGTACACTGCGAAGAAGGAAAGGGAGATGAGCTCACAGACCTGCAGGAGGTGCACACACGCACGCACCAGCCTGCCCCACCGGCTCCAGCTGCAGAAGGGCCTGCTGGCCAGAAGAGGCAAACAGAGCCACTGCTCAGGAGGAATGGGCCCTGGGCGCCTGGGTGGCTCAGTTGGTTAAGCGACTGCCTTCGGCTCAGGTCATGATCCTGGAGTCCCGGGATCGAGTCCCGCATCGGGCTCCCTGCCCAGCGGGGAGTGTGCTTCTCCCTCTGACCCTCCCTCCCCTC